TCAAGGTCAAAAAATTGGCAATAACTGAGGGGTTATTCGCAAAGGCATTACAACATATATCCAAGATAGTAAGGGGTTAGGTAGAACGTCCCTTAGAAAGCCATATTAAACGAGGGGAGAATTTGTGTCTCAAATCCACACTAAACGTTTTTTTCTAGGCTTCCCATCACTTTGAAACTGCATGGAAAGAGCAAGGGGACGATAGTGGGGGTTTCTGTCCGTGGCCTGGTTTGGGGAAAGGGGAGAACAATGGCAGAGGTGATGGTGGAGACTAATCTCGCCAGCAAGTCGTTTAAACTCACGGATGACTCGGCGAGTGATCGCACGCTTCTCTTAAATCAAAAAAATCTCTCTTGGGTTTTATTGTTTCCATTACCTTCCCCATGCAGCGTGTTTTAAATGTAGCACGAGCACAAGCAGGAGACCCCCAAGGAAAATTTCTGAGAAGCCGCCCCAAGTTTGGGGGAAGAAAGAGAATGCGGTGAAAAAAGGGGACGAGAAGAGGTGTAAAAGAATCGATGGAGGCGAAGAAGGAAACCCCTTAAAACAGTTAGGGGTGAGTAAAGGTTCCAAATTTGCCTGTCAATTGCCGTGTGGGGTGGGAAGAGGTGGTGAATTGAGGGGAAGTAAGAAAGATTGGGAAATGATGTGTCTTAAATTCGGAAGAACAGACCAAGTGAAGTTAAAAGGGCGGGGGAAGGCAGACAGAGATTGATGCAAGGAGAGTGTGAGTCCAAGGGTCAAAAGGGTGCGATACCTGTATTTAAAAAATAGAGGGGGGGGTGGCAAAAAACCTCTAACTAATGCCCCGGGGAAACACATAGACCCCCCCGAGGAAAAAAAAAGGGGGGCATTAAAAACAACCCAATTAAAAGAATCGGTTTGGGGGTAATGACGAAACAAGAAAAGGGAATATCTGGAATAGATAAGCCCCGGAGGAGAAGATTAAAGAAAAAGAGCGTATACCACCCATGCAAATGGTATGGGGTGTGTGTAATGCAGCAAGTACGAACAAATACTGATGGTACGGAATTCAGTGCATAGAAAAAGGGGATTTCATTTAAAGGGCCCATCAGGGGAAAAAGGGTTGAAAAAATACAAAAATTTTAGCCTAAATGGGAGAGATAAAAGCAGAGTGTAATTTGGTTCCTGTAAGCAAAAAACCAACAGGGAAAAACTGGGAGAGTAACATCTGAAGCTCACCCCGATTACCCCTGAGGCCGCGTATATTCCACTGTAAATAGGCCATGATTGGAAATGATAAAGATACCTGAAATCCGCAGGTAAGGGTTCCTACGGACTAGAGGGGTTAGAAAAGTCCACATGCGGAGGCAGTGGAAAACGTTCAAGCAGCGAAGGAACGGTGCGCTGTAAAGAAAGGAGTTGCGCAGATGGAGTAGAGAAGAGATAAGGAGCGGTGGGTGGATCAGTGTCCATTGATGGTTTGGTCTCTTCAATATATTCAGAGATTGCTTCAAGTGTTTCGGAATTCAGAGACGTCGTATGGGAGACAATATTGGAAACGGTAGGGGGAGGATGAGTAAAGATTGGAACTGTAATGGACTGTACCAAGGTAGGGGGGGGGGGGCGAAAGGGTGGAGGTCACTGGAGAAGCATGGAAGGGGACAGAAGAGGCAGAAACCTGGGAGGTGGCAGAAGAGGAAGAAACTTGGGAGGGAACAGGGAAGGAAGGTACAGTACGAGGAGGAGGGTGAACCTCTACACTTGTAACAGAGCCAGTGAGAGGGGAAGAACCAGGTACAGAGACAGGGAAGGGAAAATGAGGAGGTGGAAGATGGGTAGGTGTTAACGGACCTTTTTTTGACTTTTGAGAAGTAGAGGGACGATTGGGAGGAGGTGTCATACAAGATCTCGTCGCTACTGAGGCTTGTGAGAGAGAACACGAAGAAGCGAGATCAGACTGAGACGTTGAAGTAGGGACGTCTGAGCCGAGGACAGCAAAAGAATTAGCTACAGGAGTGACTATGGGAGAGGTAACCACAGAGGTGGGTGCAGAAGATGGGATACCAGAAGTAGGGGGACATTTTGAAACACGGGAATAAGAAACACGAGGTAGTCCCCCTTGGAGGCGGAGATGAGAAACTGCCATGGCATAAGGGAGACCTTCTGCCTCTTTGAGGTAATGGATTTCCCGCTCGTTTAAGTAGACTTGACAACGGCGAGAGTACGAAGGGTGAGCCTCATGACAATTAAGGCAAGAGGGAGGTCGATTGCAAGAAAGTATTAGAATGGTCATCGCACCACAGACTGGGCCATTCGGCGATAGATCTGCAATATTTCGCTGGATGGCCAAATCACCAGCAATTTCTACACTGTTGCGGTGTAGGGATCCCCTTTCGAACTTGTAACCGATACCCTGCTACAAAACTGAGGATGGGGTTCAGGCTGTAAAAGTTAAACAGCCCTTTGCTGGTATCGTCTCCGCCCGCGGCAGGAAGAACGAAAGTGTTACCTTGGGATTGGGAGATCTTGGAGTTCCGCTGTTCAAGAATGTCAAGTGCCCATGTCTGGAAATTTTGTTGAATTGGTAGGGGGCAGAATGAGGGTCCCACTACAAGAATTTGAGGGAATGAGCTTTTAAATAGTTACAGAACAGTATCGATAGGGGGAAAGACGAAAAGCTCTGAGCCTGGGAGCATTCTTATGGTGACGATCGTTGTCCCGCTCATAAGAGCATAAAAAGAAATTTTTTCTTTCCCAACATGGCGTAGGAGTGCCTTCCCAAATAGTGGTCAGAAAGATAGGCAGTAGAGGAAGTCGGTTAAAAGGGAAAGAATTTAGTCCTTTGTGCAGTCTGAAACTGAGAGTAAAAGGGGTAGGAAGGACGTGTCGTTTTTTTCTAGAAGAACGGGTGGAAAAGTATATCAGAGGTAATGCATTGGCGTTTGGCATGGGACCAGAGTTGGCCCGACTGGAAGGGGCCCGGCGTTCAAAAAATTCCCACCCGAGAGGGAGAACCCGGAAGCATAGTCAAAGGAGAGCGGGGGTCAGAAAAATCAAAGGAGTCATCGACCCCTCAGTACTGAAGCGGGTGGGAAACAGCACCAGAAGAGGTACGGGGCCCTGAGGAGTGCCAAAGAGTGGCCCAAGAGGGCGGGGTCAAAAGGGGGTGCGGTATAAAGAAGGGGCCCTGGGGTAGCAGTTCAGGGACTGGGTTTCCATGGTTGGGTTTACTTCTTTCTTTTTGTTTTTAAGAAAAAAAAAAAAAAAGAAAAAAAGAAAATAAAAAAAAAAAAAAAAATAAAAAAAAGGGGGGCGGGGGGGGATAGTTCCCAGGAGGAATGAAAGGGCCAGAATCTCCCCCTGCGCCCCCAAGGGGCCTCAGCCCCAAATAGCGCGATGCAGCATGGAACCCAAAGCAAACCCCACCCCTCATGCCCGTAAAACCGGGAATCCGGGTGCCCCCTACATCTGCCCAGTACCTCGGTGGCAAAAGAGAGGGGGGCCGGAAATCCCCCACAAAGCAACCCCTTCGGCCCCCCACCCCCCGGGAAACCCAAGGTGGCTTCCAGAGATACACCCCCGCCAGAGACACCAAAGCCACCCCCCGGGATACCGGAAGGGACAGGACATCCCCAGGAATCCAGATTCCCCGGGAAACTACGCCCCACCAAGACCCAAAAGGAATAGGATGGACCCCGGGGACCCTTTCCCTACCCAGGAATAGGGCCCGTGGGAAAAAAAAAAAAAAAAAAAAAGGGGCCAAAAAAGGAAGGGCAAAAGGGAGGGGTGGGGAGGGGAGGAGGAAAGGGAAAAAAGGGGGGGAGGGATAGGGAACGGGGATTAGGGGGGGGAATTAGGTTCGGTCTGGGAAGTCACCCACAGGGCTAATTCCCAACCCAAAAACCTCTTCACCCCGCCAAGGGGCCCCCTTGAAGAGGCATCTTTCCCATTGCTACCATAAATAATCTGACATATAACTACCTTTATAGCATGCCATCCAGAAGTCTACCCCCAAATTTTAGCTAGTTATACTGTCCGCAAACTACATCACTGTGCATATTCATATCATATACAACCTACTTTTTTGTTTTCTTAAATTTTGTGGTATTTTCGTACCAAACTGTTTCATACAAAATTCATTTAGCATTTAGGTTGATATTATTATAATAATAAGGGGAGAACCTCAACCCCTGGATTTACAGTGCACATGGGGGGGGTGGAAGGATTTAGGCTCAATTCAGGGAAACCCGGCCCGATCCAATTCCCAGATTAAGAGCCCCTCAAGCGTCAAGGAAATCCCCCCGAGGGGGAGGATTTTACGGCCTGTGGAGGGGATGGAAGGTTTTTCAGGGTGAATTCAGGGGAAATGGAGCACAGATCTAAATTCCCCAGACAAGAGCCCTTACCAGCATCAAGGAACCTTCCTTTAGGGGATTTGTTGATACTGTATTTGGAGTTAGGTTATGTTGCAAGTCCATTCGGGGGAAAAAACAAAGGCCCCCAAAGAAATAAATCATGCTTTTGGGTTTCCCAGGGGTTTTTGCATTTCTTACATTTTTTAATTAGGGGGGTTTAAAAAATAATCATAAAATGATGCTAAACTACAAGGGGTTAAAGAGGGGGGGAAAACTAAACCGTAGGGTCATAGAGCCCCGAGGGGAAAGGTTATGAGCATCTGGTTTTAATTTAAAATCTTCTTCGCCAAGTGTATCCTGTGCACAACACAAACTCTCCAATTTTTACTTGTGTTACAGAAAATTTCCCCAGGGGTGAAGGATATAAAAGTTCAAAAATAACCAGCAGTTACTCTTCCAAACAGTTTCCCCTCAAGGAGGTTCCTCGATGCCGTGAAGGGGTTCTTGATTCAAGGAATTGGACATGTCCTCCCTTGGACTGAACCAGATTGCTTCCCATCTCCAAAACACATGACCCCTAGGGGTTTGTGTTGACCCTAAATATGTTGATAATTCCAAACAGCTTAGTACTGACATGACTACATATACAAAAGTCCTAATTTTATTTAATCTATTTTACAGACAGTAAGAAATTTGGCTGAAGAGACGATTTTGTCAGTGAAGGTGCAGCATAATATTGACAACTTGACGATTACTTTTGTTCAAGGTCAAGAACTTTGAAAGTCTCATTTGATCTTCCTGTTATCACTTCTCTAATTAAAAGGATGAGTAAGTGATGGATCTGGACCTCTATTGATTTCTGCTGGATAATTACAAACATATTCAGTAACTGCTAGATCTGCTTACTAACAGGATCACTGCTGGATCTTTGTATATTAGGCCAGGTTACATAAGTTTGATTAGTTTTATCAACTTCTTTGCACAAATTACAGTAAAATAGTGTTATAGAAGCAATAAATCATGTTGTATGCAGACTACCTACTTCTATAATTGAACCTGCACAATTTTTGCTTAGCCTGTGTTATAATACTGTATAGAATTATTATCATTATTATATTTATAATGATGTGTTAAACCCATAATATTCATACAGCTCAAGGATGTGTTAAACCCATATATCACACAGCTCAAGGATGGATGTGTTAAACCCATAATAGTCATACTACTCAAGGATGTGTTCAATGCATAAATCATACAGGTCAAGGATGTATTAAACCCATAACAATCATACAGCTCCTGAGTAATGGCAGGCACTAAGGTTTGATCTGAAGAAGTGGAAATTATTATTATTATAATCACAGGGAAGCGCTAAACCCATAGGGTTATACAGCGGTTCTGTTATTACTGTGCATTAGACAATATTTCATGCTTACTACTGTTTTCACTAAACGAAGTCTTCTCTATTACTGTAAATATACTCGTTCAAACAAATAACCCACCCAAATGCCATGCCCTTTCTTGTCACTGTTGCCAAATGACGGGCAGCTAAACATATTAATTTACTCTTCTTTTCTTTTAACATGCTGATCGTCTCTCACCAAGCAAGGTGACCCAAAAAAGAAACACTTTTACCATCATTCACACTATCACTTGCCAGAGGTAACTCTCAATTCCTGGTTAACATGGATCCAATATTATGCAGTACCCTCCTTCAAGTCAGAATTCTGTACATGAAATATACATTTGCCATATGCTGTCAAAACTGTTTGCTAAGCAAAACTGAAAATTCATATTATGCAAAATTTAAAGTGCTAATGCCTGATTTATCTTAGGACAGCTCTCATGAGCCTAGAACACATCTATTGCATAAAATGAGGGACACTGTATTCACATGAAGAGAGCCTGTGATACTTTACAGTGCTTTAATTAAATTTCAAAGTAAAAAACTTAGTCAAATATACTGTAAATATATGGTATATTATAGGTAATATTCTCAGGATTAACATATTACTGTGTTGTATACTAACTTGTACTAATATACAGATAAAGCTAATTCTAATAATACTAATACATTGGATTATCTATATGACATTTGTGGGTTTAACACTCAGTTTTGACTGACTGTATTAGAGTATATACATGTATATGGAAAGGTGTGTATCTTTCACTGTATATAAAGCAAGAGTTTAATCCCTAATTCTGGGATTAATGTAGAGGTGAGTCATGGTCTTAATGACTCACATTCAGGTGACAGGTTTCAAGACTATGAAACTGACTTAATAATAAGTAGTGTACACTCTCTGCATTCACAAAACATACTCCTCATTCTGAGCATACAGTATCTGCAGAACATAAACTTTAGAAACCTGTTGAATGTGCAAATATATATTGCACTGAATTATTATTATTATAATCACAGAGAAGTGCTAAACCCATAGGATTATACAGCGCATGTGGGGGGGGGCGATGGAAGGTATTCAGGCTCAATTCAAGGAACCGGAGCACAGATCCAATGCCCAAGATCAAGAGCCCCTCATCAGCATCAAGGAACCTACCTTGAGGGGATATTGCACTAAAAAAAAAAAAAATATACTCAGACTTTTAGAATGTTAGCAGTGCTTAATAATCCACATGGGTTTGGCACTTTGTGATTATAATATTAAAAATCTAGAAATGCTACTTAAAAGAATCTTAGGATAGGTTAGGTCAGGTCTTAGTCATATGACGACCCACTGCTGGAGCTTTTGGTCATCTGACTGAGTCCTTTTCCTGGGTTACCAGTCCACCCCTTTAAAAATTAGGGTTATATATTAAAAGAATATTGTGTAGAGTGAGGATTAAGCTACTGGTGTGAAATTTGTTGATGCTATACAATGATGTTCTATAATGACAGTCCTCTTCAAGGGGGGCTCCTTGGCGTGGTGAAGAGGCTCTTGGTCTGAGGAATTAGCCCTGTCGGTCTTCTTCCTCAGACCGAACCTAATTACCCCCCATTCTCCCCTCCCCTATCCCATCCTCCCCATCCTCCCCTTTTTCCATTCCTCCTCCTCCTCCTCACCCCTCCCTTTTGCCCTTCCTCTTTTTAGCCTTCGTGATTTCTCCCACAGGCGCGCTAGTTCCTAGGTAGGGGAAAGGACACCGGGGTCGATCCCATTCCGTTGAGGTTTCTTGGCGGTGGCGTAGTTTGCCGTGGAATCTGGATTGCCTAGGGATGTCCCGATCCCTCTCCGGTATCCCGGAGTAGTTTTTGGGTGTCTTTTGGGCGCGGTGTATCTCTGGAAGCAACCCCTTTCGGATTCCGGGGGTGGTGGCTGAAGGAGGTATGCTTTGTGGCGGTTTATCCGGCCGCCCTCTCTTTTGTCCCCCCGAGGTAGCTGGGGCAGATGTGAGGTTGCTATCCCGGATTGCTGGTTTACTGGCATGAAGGGTGGGGTTTAATGGCACGGGTTCCAGGGCTGCATCTGCGTACTAGCGGTGTCGAGTCCTCTTGGGCGCGGAGGGAGATTTTCCGGCCCTTTCATTCCTCCTGGGAACTATTCCTCCCGCTCCCCCCCTTTTTTTATTCTTTTTTTTTTTTTTTATTTTCTTTTCTTTTTTTCTTTTTTTTTCTTAAAAACAAAAGCAAAGGAGAAAACCTAACCATGGCAGCCCTAGTCCATGAAACCACTACCCCCGGGCCCCTTCTTGATACCGACCCCATTCTGACCCTGCCTTGTTTTTTAGACCACTCTTCGGACACTCCTGTTTGCCCCTGTACCTCTTGCTGGTGCTGTTTCCCCTCACCCCTTCAGGTACCGGGCTTCGACTGACTCCTTCGATTTGTCTGAACTCCGCTCTCCTTTGACTATGCTTCCCGGCTTCTCCCTCTAACGGTACGGCAATTTTCGAATCGCCCACCCATTTCATCCCGGGACCAACTCCGGTCCTACTCCTAAACGCCAACGCCCAATCTCCTGATGTTTGCTCCGTCGTTACCTTCCCATTCTACTCGGAAACGACCGACACGTCAAGACCCCCTCCCCAAACGCTCAATTTCGGACCACACAATGGACAAAATCTTTACTTTAAGACCAACTTCTTCTTCTGCTACCTTTCTGACCATAGTATTGCCAAAGCGCTCCTGCGTATGTTGGCAGAGATATTTCATTTCCGCTCTCAAGAGCGGTACCGCATCGTCACTGTCCAGAATGCTACCCAAGCTCAGGGATCTTTCTTCCTTTCGAATATCGATACTACTCCTATCACTATTGAAAAACATTTTTCTCTCAATTCTTTTTAGTGGTACTGTCATTCTGCCCATACCATAGTCCAACAGAATTTCCAGTCATGTGGCAATGACATTTTGAACAGCTGGAACTCCAGATCTCCCAACCTCAAAGTAGACACTTATGTCCTTCCTGCCCGGGGGCGGAGACGTACCCTTGCAATGTGGCTCTTTTTAAAACTTTTGACAGCCGAGAACTCCCTTCCTCTGTATATGTCGCGGGACATCGGTTACAAGTTCGAAAGGTGATACCTACACCGCAACAATGTAGAAATTGTGGCTTTTTGGGTTTCACCCAGCGAAATATTGCAAAATCTATGGCCGAATCCCCAGTCTGTGGTGCCGACAACCATTCTAATACATCTTGCAGTCAACCTCCATCTTGCCTTAATTGTAATGAAGCTCACCCTTCGTACCCCCGCCTTTGCCAGGTCTACTTAAATGAACGTGAAATCCGTTGCCTCAAAGAGGCAGAAGGTCTCCCTTATGCTATGGCATTTTACTCATCTCCGCCTCCAAGGGAGACTACCCCGTGTTTCTATTCTCGTGTTTCCCAAACATCCCCCCACTTCTGGGTCCCATCTTCTGCAGCCTCCTCTGTTGTTACCCCTCCCATAGCCATTACGGCATCTAATCCTTTTGCTGCCCTTTGGGCTCTGACGTCCCGACTACAACTCAGTCTGTTCTCGCATCTTCGCGTCCTTCCTCACAAGCCCCAGTATCGACAAGAACCTCGTACGACACCTAATACCAATCCCCCCTCTACTCAGAAGTCCAAAAAATCCACATTGCCAAATCTTCTTTGCCCCTTCCTTCCCTTCTTCCACCTCCACACTTTAAACCTTTCCAGTCTCTGTACCTAGTTCTTCCCCTCTCTCTGGCTCTATTACAAGTGTGGAGATTCACCCTCCTCCTCGAAACAAATGCCTTCCACCCCCGTCCCCCCCAATTTTCCCTCCCTCTTCTGTCACCTCCCAGGTTTCTACCTCTTCTGTCCCCCCCCACATTCATCTCCAGTCCCTTACACTTTTCCCTCCCCCTCTACTTTGGTACAGTCCATTACTGTCCCAATCTTTACTCACCCTCCCCCTCCTATCTCCAATATGGTTTCCCATACATCTTTGAATTCAGAAACACTTAAAGCCATTTCAGAATAATTGCAGAGACAAAACCCTTTCAATGGACATGATTCACTTCCTGTTCCTTCTCTTCCCTCTCCTCCATCTTCACAACCCCAATTCTTCGCAACGCTCCGTTCCTTCGCTATTGAACATCTTCCAATGCCACCACACGTTGACTTTTCAAACCCCCTCTTAGTCCGTAGGTGCCTTTACCTACAGATTCCTGATATTTTCTTCATCGCCAATCATGGCCTATTTACAGTGGAATATCCGCGGGGCCCCAGGGGTAATCGGGGTGAGCTTCAGATGTTGCTTTCCAGGTTTTCCCCCGTTGGTGCTTGCTTACAAGAACCAAAAATTTCACTCGGCTGTTTTCCAACCTATCTCAGCTATAATTATTGTATTCTTCGGATCCTTTCTCAGATGGGACCTTTAATGAAAGTGCCCTTCTTCTAAAGCAATGATATTCCGTACTGTCAACTATTTGTCCATACCTCGCTGCATTACAAATGCAGCCCGTATCCACTTGAATAAGTGGTTTACAATATGTTCTTTATATCTCTCTCCTTCTCGAGCATTTTCTATCCCAGACTTTGCCTTTCTTGTTTCATTCCTTACCACCAAACCCCTTCTGTTACTTGGTGATTTTAATGCCCACCATTTCCTCTGGGGGGGGTCTCATTGTGACTCACGTGGCATTCAGTTGGAGGCTTTTCTTGCTCTCACCCCCTCCATGTTTTAAATACGGGTACTCCCCCCCATTTTGATCCTCGTACTCATACTCTCTCTTGCATCGATCTATCAGTCTGCTCTTTTCCCCCACTGCACTAGACTTCACCTGGTCTGTTCTACCAGACTTACATGACAGCGATCATTTTCGATCATTCTTACTTCTCCTTCCTATTCACCACCTTCCCGTAGCCCTCGCTGGCAATTTTATCGGGCAAATTGGGATCTTTACTCACACCTCACTGCTTTTAGTGAGGTTCCTTCTTCATCCTCCATGATGAGCTCCTACACATCTTCTCGACATCAGTTTATACCGCACTTCTCAATCTATACCCCAAACCTCAGGCAAGCATTCTCAGAAGTGCGTGCCTTGGT